AGTCTGCTGGTGAGCAAATCCCCCTAACTCCTTCGATTCACTACTGCTCCTTCTTGGCAGGCAGCTTAGAGAGTTGCTCTTCCGGCTCCTTCAATCGATCGAGTACAATGCCCGTGTACCAGGTGAAGCGGACCGTCAGTGGCTCTGAGCCTCCATTTCGGTGTAGACTGCGCGAGTGGGCGCAGAAGAGAATGTGAAGGTAGGCGCCGTAGCCGGCCATAAAGTGCCACCAAGCGTGCAGTTGGGTCAGCGGACTTAGCACCGCCGGAAGCGTGTCTGTACGCAAGCCACGTAACCACTCGCAAGCAAAGTTGTCGATGCACCACAGTCCAAAGCCGCAGTAGTAGAAGAAAACGGCCGAGTAGAAGATGCGCACGCTGCACTGCTTCGTCCGCACCACTGCAATGTCGTAGTAGAGCATCAGCGTCACCAGGACGCCGTAGGCCACCTGAAAGAGGATGGGCGTCTTGAAACTGAGGTAGATGACGGTGCAGATGACGCCGTAGGCAATCAGCGACAGCTTCAGCAGGGCGTTCCGCAACGCTGAGCGCTCCATCGATTCGTAGAGATGTGAAACCAAGGCGTAGACGAGCATCAGCGAGCCCCAGAGCATTGGAAGTTCGTCAAAGAGCTGCATCTCGTAGAGCAGCGTCATGTGAAAGTTCCAAGAGCCACAGCCCACAAGGGCGAGCGAGATGAAGCAGAGCATGAAGCGACGTTCAAGATTATTGCGAAAGGCGTAGTAGAGACCGGCGAAGGAGGGCACGATCATCGCAAGATTGGAGAGTGTGTTCCAAAACTCGGCAATGTACTGCGTGACGATGTAGTTCTCCTCGCACCAGTCCAGCGTGGACGTGGGCTCGCCCCAATAACCAGCTATTGGAGCCATTTTCTGGATTTCTGAATTGTTGCTGAGTACTGAAATAGGATCGTTTGAGCGATTGAATGATTGGGACCTGAATGAAAAAGAAGATAAAAAGATTAAAATCAAAGTATGGAAATCATTCTAATCGGCGGATGCCCACACTTACTGATAAGAGGAGGCACTGGAGGCTGTTGAGCAAGAAAGAGGATAAAGAGGACGACAAGAGAATTGACCAGAGAGAGGAGATCGCTACCGCACAAATGAAACTAATACAAAGTGAAGAGAACAACAGCAAATCGACAGTGCAACAACGGCAGCAGCAGCAACATTTCACGCATTGAAGCGTGCTACCTTAGCCGCCAGTGTCGGCAGTCTCGGCGTGTATGTGTGATGATGATGAAGCTGATGTCCTCGATTCAGACGAGTTTGCAAACTAGACTACCGCCACTACTTCGGCACTCTGTTGGACACTGTGTTGTTGGTCTGGAGGATGATCAAGTCATCGTTCTTCTGTCACCGGCAAACACAGGCAAGTAAGCAGGCAGGCAGGCAGGCAGGAAGACAGGCAAGCTGGCTGTCTGGCTGAGGCACAGGCCGGCAGTGATTGTCAATGTGTCTTTTCAGCACGTCTATTGCAAATGCTAGAAAAATGTTGATGACGATCAACTTTCCATGTTGTTGCTCAAATGTCAGCAGCAAAAGTCATAGTGCCAAATGGAGGGAAGAATGATAATTATGACGACGGTGCTGGGCAGGCACTGGTTGTTCTGGTAATACTTCTCAAACAAGTCGTCGACGGCTCTACCTTTTCACTAGCAGTACGTGATGACTTTTGATTTTTGAATCATCACTGGAGTTGATGGTGGCGGTGGTAGTGGCGGTATCACCATGAGACGGCACTCTCACGCTCAATTTACTAGAAGGAATCTTCCCCGATGTGTTTGACTGTAAACTCTGTTCTGGTCGACGGTGATGGCGAAGCACAAACAAACAAAGCGCCGAATGTTTACATGAAACAAGTCGAAAATGTTCAAGATAGAGAGGTGAGCCGAGAGTGAGGATGATGATGGCAGAAAATCACTGGTAGAGTACATGAAGACTTGAAATGAGTGGACAGTGGTGGTGGTGCTGGCAATTTACCGCGAATAGTTGCCGCTTTGCTATGGTGATTAGGACATTGGTGATAATGTTGACGGATCTCTTGATGGCCATTGACATCACAGACGGAAAGAAATCTGTCTGTTTTTGTTTTGATTTTTCCACTTTACTGCTCTAGCCCCAGTGTTTTGTTTCGCCACTACCAGAGGGCACATCTGAGAGCTTTTTAAAAATATTTTTTTAGAAAAATTCTGTTGGGTCATTTAATTTTGAGTTGACAGGTAAAGCAAATTTTTATTTGAGATCGATAGAAATCAGTGGTAAGTCAGTAAGAGAATGAACAGTAAAACACAAAAAGGATGCATGTTTTTAGTTTGTAATAGAGTCTAACATCGAAAATGGCGGATATGCTTCTTCTATCCATCAGATCAAGCTGGCGCTGAGCCCCAGTCAAAGTCATCGGGGACTGGCTCAAAAACTGGTTCAGATTCAGCAACAGCCGAAACCGATGCTTGATGACCACCACATTTGGTGACAGTTGGTGGAACAGTCTCTTTTGATTTTCGAGCAGACGAGGAACGGCTTTCACTAGGAACCGAAACAGTGCTTGCTGGACCATCGCTTTGTGATGAGCCTGAAAATTGAAGTTCTTTTAGAGCAGCAAGAGCAGGAAGCTGCTGAAATATCGGTTTACCCCATTTAAAAGCACTCGTGACTAGTTTGACGTCCGAGTCGGGAACAGTTGAATCGGGTCCTCCGTGACCAACATAGTAGCGCTTGCTGTCAGGGGAGCAATCTCCTTTGGTATCGCAGCCGACGAACCAAAGACAGTTTTTCGAAAAGCATTCACTGGAAACAGGAACAGCCACTGGTGGGCGAGTTTTGGTTGTTGATGCTGAGGCAACCTCTATCGGAGCTGCTGAACTTTCTTTTTTTGATGAGCCGGAGAGTTTTTTGGGAACAACAGGAGCAGAGTCAAAATCCTCGGAAACTGGTTTAAATGTTGGCTTGAGCTCCTGATTGACAGTCGTTGAACTGGTACTATTGCTTGATGGTACAACTTTAGCTTGCTTTTCAAGCACTGTATTTGCTGGAATACATTCTTTAGAGGAAATCGAAATGGTTCTCGAAGTTTCAGGCTCAGAGCCCCACTGCAAATTGTTTAAGACTTGATAACAGGGGTTAGGCTTGACTTCAGGAACAGCCCAGAGATACAGTGAAGCTCTGTCAAATGAGTACTTTGGTCGGGGCAGTTCGTACGCTAAAATTTCTCGTTCACTTGGAGGCAGCAAGGGAACCTGCTGAGTGGCAAAAATCGTCCACCATCGAGCCAGCTTTTTCCGCCAAAGTTCCGCAGTCGACTCGTTTTCAAATGGAATTTCAAAGATGAGCTTTTCAACTTGGTTTATTTTCTCTTTGACAATCGGTGACAGTGGGGCGTTGCTCTTTAACAGAGCCTCGATGATCACTTCCAGAGTGACCAAATGTTGGCGAATGATTGCAAATGAGAGCCTTTCTGCTGGCATCCTCCTGAGATGATGATCCATAGCTTTTGATGATCTGATGGTGAATTTGCAGAAAGAAGGGTCGATTGTATTTTGTAAACTAAAATCACATAAAATGAGAGCTTGCAAGGATGACCGCATCGCATTTATAAACACCGACTGTGGGCAATCACAATCAGCGGTTACTTTGTCATCTTGATAAAATATGAACAAGTCTTGAACTCTGACTAATTTTAAACACGCCAAAACATTTTGAGCAAAAATAGTAAGTTCTAGAATGTACACTTTATTATGAAATGAAAAATGGTAGGAAAAAGAGGCAAAAGATTGCATGATAAACACTATGTACAGCGAGAGACAGTTGTAGTGTTGGGTGTGACGATGATTACAAATTCAATGATGAGAATTAGCAGGAGAGAGAACAAGATGAGACAGGGTCATCACCAGAGTAGAGGGAAAGCAGAGTATTAACAGAAAGAATTAAAGAGATGAGGGAAAAAGATAATGAGAATCTTACAGTAGACTGTCTAAATTGAGAAAAAGAGCGAGCGCTAACAGTAGAAGTCGAGTACTAAAAGGGGACGAGTATCGGTGGAGATAAAGAGGAGTTGCAAAAGCCAACGATCAACCTGATCGGCAAGCTTTCAGCTTTGTACAGTTTGCTTTTGTCTCAAGAGTATTATTAGTTGTTGCGTGGATGTGGCGAAAGGAGCTGACAGATCAAGTCAGCCACTGTAGTCTAGCGATGATGGTCTAGGGTGAGATCAAAATCTAGAGTGTGTAAAGATGGATGGTGGTAAGGAGGTTGAGAACTGATGACCATCGGGTGCATTGGACCACATTCAGCTCCTCATAAGACCTGAAACTTTGTCCAGTTAGCAGCTGCCGCTGCCGCCGCCTTGTCCGCCCCATTGTAGCCGTCCAGTGCACCGCCATCACTGGCCAGCGAGCCGTTGAGGGGCGATGTGCGCGTCTGACCGGCGTGCGGATTGCCCGTCAGTCCGTGCAGTCCCGAGGAGCCGCCACCACCGCCTGAGTGCAGTCCGCCCATGTGATTGGCCATTGACATGCCGCCCCCTCCGCCGACCATCTGCGCATTGAGCGCCGCCGAGCTCATGGAGGCGCCCAGCGCGCCGCCGTGGTGGTGGGCCGCGTGGGCGTGCGCCGACATGGCCGAGGGCATGGCCGCGGCGGACATGGCGTGCTGGTAGGCCGAGGCAGTGTCCATGTTCGAGTACGGGTGGTGGTGGTGGTGCGGGTGGTGGTGGGCGTACGCCGCCGATGACGGGTGGTAGGCGCTCTGCGCAGAGGGGTAGCAGGCAGCCCCGGTGGGCGGGGCATTGCTGGCCATTTGGTGGTGATGGTGGTGGGCGTATGCTGCCCGCTGCATGCAACTATTGCTGCTCATCAGATCGGACACCGGGGCGATGGCCGCCGGACTCCAAATGGAACTGTAGGACATGTTGGCACTAATTAAGCGAAGAAAAGGAAGAAGGTTAGACATTTGATTCAAGTCAGTTAAAGCCGATCATTTACCTTGAGTTGTTTGAGGTGACAGAAGAGCAGAGTGAGTTGCCGTTACCGTTACCACCTCCATTGCCTCCACCGGAGCTGAGATTGGAGAGTGAAGGCGGTTTGTAGGGTGAATCTCGGTGGCCACCGACACTTCCACCTCCCAGTGACGCCGGCGGAGAGCTAGTGCTCGAATTGCCCGTAGGTGGAGGACTCTTCGCCTTCTTTGGCCGAGGCTTCGTCGAGCCACTGTTTTGATTGTTGGCTGCATTTTGAGCTTGCTGTGCCTGTTGCCGGCACTTGGCGCGCCTGTTCTTGAACCAGACCTGAAAAATCAGTCATTGTTAAAACGGTGAACTATTTGCCAAAATATTTGCTCAATCTCACCTGAACCCTCGACTCTGGAAGGTTGATCTTCAGAGCGACCTCCTCACGCATGAAAATGTCCGGGTAGCGTGTCTTTCCAAAGAGCGTCTCCAGTATGTCCAGCTGGGCTCGTGTGAAGGTGGTCCGCTCTCGCCGCTGCTTTCTCGGCGGCTGGTTTGGCCCGTTCGGGGAGATGGCGCCTGGGAAGAGGCCAACAGTGACAAAAGGGGAAAAAAGGAAATCGAACATTAACATTTATTGCCAGCAAAAGTGGTTAAATGTGGAAAAAGTTTTAAAGAATTGGTAGTGGTGGTTGTCCCAAGTGAGCTTTCTTTTGACTCCAGCTCTTTCCCTCTTTCTCCCCTGCATCACATCACACACCGGACAGATGGCATAAAATCGGTGAACCGGTGTGTTCCTGGAAATATAGGAACAGCAGCAGCAAAAGCAAAAGTAACTGCGACAACGGTGCTGCTGCAGTTGGGTTCCAAACTCTTAATAGTCAGAGGGGGAGAGCAATGGCACAATGGGAAAGGAACTGCCAACGAGACAGTGAACTAGAGTTCGGCTATAATCCGTGACAGCGACAGCAACAGATTTGGGAGTATGGCTTTCACACGAGGAGAGGGAGAGAGAGCAAGTGAGTGAGCAAAAGTTGCCATATGCAGTCGAAAAAGGGATTAGCGAGGGGGCAGACAGAGCAGGCAGGCTACTGAGTTGGCCGTCCAAGACCCGAGACTGAACAGGCGAGGCCAGGCCAGGGTCGGGCAGACCGATTCGGGCCACCGAGGACACAGATGCGAGCTGCTGCTGCTGCTGCTACGGCCTCGACAAGCGAGCGTTTTGTTGGCCGCCTAAGCCTAATCCGATAGACAATTGCTGCTGTTGCTGTTCGGGTTGCTGTATTCAGGTTGGTTTCTGGCACGCTATAACGAAGTCCGTTGCCGTTCGCCATTTGCATTGTCTCTGCTCGCAGATCGGTGCTTGCACCTACTAAGCACTAGGGTCGTTTCAATTAAATGAAATCTCACGCTAACAGGCAGCAGTGATTGAACTCACTGCTAAACATCTCTCTCTCTCCTTCCTTCCTCCTCCTCCCTGAAATACACACTGATTGACCAGTGTGCCGAGGAGCACATCGAGTTTTGACTGACTGACTGGCTGAGGCTGTGTCGGCAGGCTAGCAGTGTGGTGCTGTGGATCGTTAGCTGCACCGGGCATTATTGCCAGATTATAGGCAGCAGGACAATAGGCAGATTAGCACACGAGCAGAGAGGAAGTGTGCTCCTTCTGCTGGTTTGCTTCATGGCAGATTTGTTGATGGCTGCTGTTGCTAGTGCTAGTGGTGCTAGTGGTGGTTGTAGGTCTCCTCAACCAGACACTGAAAGCAGTCTGCCTGGCCGGGAGAACAGTCAAATGGGATTAATCTAGGCGAGCTTTTTTGCTCTTTTAATTACCTGCCACCTTGAATAAGCCAGAGAAATCAGTGGGGGTCGTCCACAGGCAGCATGCTCCACTGGTCAGCGCCACAATGAATTCAAGAAAGGTCTGCCCTTGCTGCTGACCCATAGATCACACACTGGCAAATTGGCCAACTCAGTCTCAGTGGCTGTGTGTGTGTTCCAATTAGAGGTCACACCTGTGGAGTGTGAATGGCAATGACTGAACTACTAGCCCCTGCTAGGTTTCCACTTTATTAGCAAAGCAAGAATTTTATTTTTATCACCGCTCACCGCCTTCGTTTTATTTGTCAGTATGTTTTTATTGCCACTGGTGACGTGTTAATTATCATTGCTAGTGTCGTAACGGTAACACTTCAAAAAAGGTATTTTCTTTGTGGTTTTCACCACGTGCTAGGTCAAACCACGCGAATTTGGCTTCTATCAATTTAATGGGTTTTCGCAGAAAAGCAAAAGTCTACTTTTCTTCACTACATCAGTGTCGATTCTAATCGGCCACTACTGGCTGTTCTCCACAAACCAAGTGGCTTCCGGGCGAATCGAATTGAGAAAAGCTGGGCACACACACAAAAGCCTGTGCCAGAACAGCCTGCAAAGCACACAAAAGCCTACTTGGAAAACACACAGCAGACGCTGAGATAGAAATTAGACAGAAAAGTGCTGCTGTCTGAAATGGAGACACCGAGCTGGACAATGGTCTCTGTTTAAGGGGTTACTTTCACCTCAATTGACTAATTGAAAATGATTGTCACAAGTGGAGGTGAGGGGTAGTGAGGTAGTGAAGTACGAGAAAACAAGCGAGAAGGGCTTAGCAGAAAGACAAGAATGGCTCAGACAATGACCAGAGGAAGAAAGAGGAAGAAAAAGAAAGAGAAAGACACTGGTCCCTCTGACCACCACCACCACCACTTGTCTCGAAAAGAGTTATTCTTTGGCAGACACATTTCTGCCCACAGCTGATAAGTGAGAAGAGTCTTCTGTCTGCTGGGTGACACAGTAGACAGAAGACTGTGACCGATAGCGGTCAAAGTATCTCTGGCAGACTGCTCTCAATTAGGCTTGCTTGATAATCGATATTGGCAGATCACACAACTATGAGGGCAACTGTTTGATGTGTAATCGGAGCAGCAGCAACAACAACAGCAGCAAGCCCTCTTCCTATAAGTGGTTCCGATACCGTTTTACTTTTAAATAATATAAAGAAGTGGCCGCAGTAGTGTGCACGCGCGTTTGCGAAACGAGCACAAAGCGAGCACCACAATGTGTCCACTGGGTCGATCGTCGCTGCAAACTGTGAACTATGTGAACTACTACGTGTTTTTGTCGCTCGTGAACAACAAATAAGTGGTGGTGGTGGTGAAACGGTCCCTTACAAATGGCTGCCTAAAGTGGGAGAGTGGCAGTAGTGGTGGTGGTGGTGTCCATCAAAGGTTCATTAGACGAGCAGAGAGTGGCACCCAGCACTAGCTATTCCGGACAATGGCCCCGGCGTGACCGAGTGAGCGACGGTGAAATTGGCAAGCACAAAGTGTGCGCCCAAGAAGAAGGACTCGTGTGCCAGTGCACAATCGATCAAGGTAAATTTGTGCTGCGTAAAGTGCTACTGTTCCCACCAACACTTCATCAGTCTTAAGAATGGCTGCCACTGTTTGCCAGGTTGTTGTTTGGAAACAATCTCCCTCTCTCAAAAAGGTTGTCATATAGACTTACCAGGGTAGCCGACGCTGGAGTGAAGCAGGTCACTGCTGGTGATGCCGGCAATGCCGTTCATTGCGTACGGGTTCGACTTGAGGTAGGCGGACATGGCGTGGTGACTGCTCGTGTTCATGGTCGACGGGTGGTGCGGGTGTGGCTGGTGATAGGATGGTGTTACTCGGTACCCGCCTGACTGGAAGGAAGGAGTGGAGGAGGGGCTGGTCAGACTGCTGCTCAGGTCCTCGGGCGAGACGCCGGCGCCGCTGTTGTTGGCAGTGCTGCCGCTCTCAGTGCCGCCGCTTCCGCTGCCTGGAGTGGAGCTTCTCGGCTGATGAGGTCGCTCCGGAGAAGAGGCAGAGGTGGTGGTGGTGATTGGCTGCTGATGATTGGTGGCGCCTCGATGCAGGAAGTGCTGCTCACTGCCCGACTCGTATGAGTGCTCACTGTAGCTGTCGCTCTTCTCAACTTTGAACTTGTTGGCCACCGTCTGCAGCAGTCCAGCTGGTCGTTCGCTGGTCAAAGTGGGCGAGTAGTTTTCTGAGGGGGAGAACTCGGACTTGATTGTTTGTGAGGATGGTGAGGCGGACTGTTGCAGCTGCTCCTGGTGCTGCTGCTGTTGTTCGGCTAAAGCTCGATGATGGTGATACTGGTGGTAGTTTCCGGGATGGTGGTGCGAATGGTGATTGTACGGGTTGTGGTGGTGCTGATTGCCGTTGTTTGGTAGTAAATTTGGATAGGAGAACTGATTCGAATTGGACAGATTCGATCTAGGGGCAAGAAAGAGAAGATAAGTGGCATTAGATGTGGTTGATGAGGTTAGTGCGAGAATGAGTTAGAGCGAAAAAAAGTGGAGTTGACAATGCTGTGTAATATGCTATGTTTATGTTTGTAAAATGTATTACATGTAGTACTGAAAAGGGGATGATATGAGTGTGGGCGTCATGGAGAGGCAGGTGTCGGTGACTGGCCGGGGCGTACAAACAGGCGTACTCAGTGGAGCGCTGTTTGCTTGCTGCGGTCAGAGGTCGTCAGATGTTCAACTATGAGGTGGTAGTACGGGACACTACTTAAGCAGAGCGAGAGGGGATAATCGGCAAACAGACACTGATGATGTTTTCAGTAGATCTGCTTGAACTCCGATGACAAAGTCAACAAATGTAGAAACTTGAGGTGACACTGGGCAAAAAGCTAGACCGGTGTCGGTGTGTGTGTATGTGTGTGTTGGATCAGGAAGAGACCAAACAAACAAATAAACAGCGTGGACTACAATAGACGATGAAGGAGAGAGAGAGAGAGTCGGCAGAAGGTGCAAGATTTGTGCAAGAGATAATCTTGATCGAGCAAATACGATTAGCAGTTTATGATGTCGATCGAGGAGAGAGAGGAAACTGGAGAGCAAGTAGGAGAAAGCGGCACCGATGAATGGCTGCTAATCAAATAATCGCATTTAAGGTTGGGTATCGTAATTTAATCGGTCCACTCGCTTGTGGATGTATGTATCGGTGTGTGTGTGCGTTTGTATGTTTGCATAGACACTGCCAAAAAAACGGTGCTGCTTTTTCTGCTGTTTTTCAGTCTCTGTCTCTCACTCGTTGAAGCACTGAGCTCATCTGAACTAGTCCTGACGATACAAAGTGGCTTTTGTATATGGCTGAGAGGCAGCGATAGAAGCTAGCAAACGAGCTAAACGGGCAAAAGCGGGAGAGAGAGAAGGAGCGAGAGAGAGAGAGAGAACAGGAGAGAGAGAGAGAGAGAGAGAGAGAGAGAGAGAGAGCGGGAGAACAGTGACTGCTTTCCTCAGTGAGCGCTGCAAGTCGACTGCGACCGCCAGCCCACTGCCCAACACTGAACCGCCTTCTAGCTGGCTCAAGTCCGCCTGTTCTTCAGGCTGCCTGGTGGCGACGAGTCCGCCTGATCAGGACGGATTTGCTGTCGCCGCTGCAAATAGAGCACAACTGCACTGGTGCACATGAAGGGCGAATGAGAGCATCCAGCTCTCCGCTTGGTCCTCACTCCTTGTCTGAACTGTACAAGCACTGCGGCAGCCTGCAACTTCAACTTCCCCAGCAGCAGCAGCTTCGTTATTGCCGACATCGATTGCAGCTCAGCGGCTAATTGGTGCCCCTGCACAATTAGCGGCTGGCTAAGGGCTTGGGCGCGAGCGGGCAGACTCGAGACTGAAGAGCGATCAATTTGGGTCCCTCCAATTGACTGCTGTTGCTGCTAATAACGGTGCATTACGCCCGTTGAGCTAGTTCTCCTTCCTCCCTTTCTCCCTATTCACCTCTTTTCTTCTGCACGCTTTTCAAGTGGTCTAACTTACACTTAGAAGCAGGCAGATGAGCAATCTCTATACTGTGTGCCATATTGAAGGTAATAATAGTCTTTAGAGCAGCCTAAAGATTGCTGCTGTTCCACTCGCCACTCATCGCGCGGTCCATAATGCGCACTAATCTGCAGCAGCAGCAGAAGCGCTGTGTTGAAGCTCAATGTGCTCGCGTCCAAAGCTGCTTCTAATCCGAATTTCTTAGTTTTCAAAATCTTATAACAAGAGCAAATAGAGCAAACACTTGTAATGCTCTTAGGGAAGAGAGCATTTACCAGAGAAAGAGATCGGAGCCGGTAACAGTTTGCCTGGCTGACGGTAGTAATAGTTTGGTGCTGTTACAGCAGCAGTAGCAGCAGCACCGTTTATTGTGCTCACTGCTTCTAATCGCAGATTTGCCACTTAATTGCTAATGAAAACGTTACATTGCCCGCACAGAAAGAGAGCACCGAGCATTGGCTGCTGTTGTTGCTAATCACATTAGCCGGCTGATGATATTTAAAGTGCCCGACTCACTGTGTTCGGTTTGGTGTCTGTCTCCGTTTGTGTAAGTATGTGTGTACAAAACGGGCGATTTATATCTCTTTCCACTAATCTAGCCGATTAGCACCCAAGTCAAGCGAATCAGTATCGTCAAGTGGTTAAGAGGAGAAACTGATCGGAAACTTTAATTCTTTCTGTTTAGTTTTGCTGTTTATTGTTCTTCTGATTTGTTTTGTTTAATGAATTTAGAACATTCGTTTNATCTCTTTCCACTAATCTAGCCGATTAGCACCCAAGTCAAGCGAATCAGTGTCGTCAAGTGGTTAAGAGAAGAAACTGATCGGAAACTTTAATTCTTTCTGTTTAGTTTTGCTGTTTTTTGTTCTAGATTTGTTCTGTTTAATGAATTTAGAACATTCGTTTTATTATGGTTAATTGCTTTTTTTCTGTTCAAAGAAATACCAAGTTTTACTTTTTTTCTTTAGTTGACTCAAAATAGGACGCGGAAATTGACGTTAAAAAGCACGTTCCTAATGCACAAGACAGTTACAATGTGAGCCAATTGTGGCTAACAGTAAGTGAAGGCAAATGCTTCCATCATTTTACCACCATCTTCTCTACAGCGTCATCACGTAATGAGGCAACGATCAAAACGAAAAGTTGGCAGTTGGGGAGCAGTGATAGGTGCAGTCAGTGAAATGCAAAAAATGGCAACAATGCCTGCTTGCCTTCCTGCTTGATGCCATCGGATTATAACCGTACTGTTGCAAAAGAAGAGAAAAGAAGTCAAAGATAGCAATTGAAAAAATAGTAGAAGAGCAAGGACGTATTTAGGTGCTGATGATTTTGGCAAACTGAAACGGGAGAATAAAAAAATAAAATGTTGCCACCACTTCGAAAGATTTCTTTGACACAAAAATAAATGGAAACAACAGTACCCAATGATGAACAAAGGAAATTCACCAAACCAGTGCTGATTGCCAAAAAACGGTGTGTTTAAAAACCCACATTTTCACTGACTACGAGTAGATCAACTAGAGAACCTGTGCAGTGTACTGCATGTTCCCTATGTACATTCTGACTGTTGGTTGTTGGCTGTAACAGCAGCACATGCTGTCATTGGTCGTGCTGTGCATACAAGCTCAGAAGTGAGACTAATTTGCTGTCCAGCAGCGAGCTTTAAGATAAGCAACACCCCAGGAGGGGGTGAGTGACTTGAGTGAAGAAACGACCACATGATTAGCGAGATGATATGTTTTAGCAATTCTGGAGAACTATGTGCTTAGCGTGAAGCAACTATGACACAAAAGGTTATGGCTATTGTACGGCACAGCAAGTTCAATGCTTCCTGAACGCCACAATCGAAAAATTCAACCTGGGCTGAACAGAAAAGCAGGCAGTCAGAAAGAAAACAAAGTTTTTTGGAAAGTTGACTAAATTTTGTTCAGTAAGGACTACCACCACCACCACTATAAACTGCAATTTTTGTTGTTTTTGTCAAGTAACACAAAAAGTGGTAGTACCTCATTGAGGCCTCTCTCATTGTTTCACTCACTTTTAGAGCAGTGGACAGCAGTGCCAGATTAGCACTGGTACTGGGCGATGCCACCACTGACGATTCACTGAAATCGACACAAACACTGCCTAGCTAGTTCTCTCCGGGGAAAACAAGTGCCCAGCTCACTGTGTTTCTTTGTCCTGTGCCCTCAGTGCAAATGACCTCGACAAATTGGCTGACTAATGGCTGGCTGGCCTGCTGTCTTTTCTTCTTCATTTTCTTTTGTCAGTAAATTAAGCAGACACGTTCTTCTGACGAGGGTTAGACCTAGTAAAACAGTGCACAACAAGAGAATAGCTGGAAAAAGGCCCAGTGAGGTACTAGTGCTTGCTTGCACAGTGTCTGCAATAGTAGTAAGCACTCGTCAGGTGAAGGCAAACATATCCTAAAGTTTCACAAAATTATTTCAAAATCAGCTGGTGGTTGTGGTGACCTCAGCAGGTACATTGAAACACTAACACCACTTAGATATAGACTTGCCATTTTAATTGTTCCTAATCATGTTAATTGCCCATGTTTCTCGCTAAAGTGTGGCACCACTTTGCTTCTAATGAGTTGATGACAGGCTGTGGACCGAGTGCTTCATGAACGATTTTTGCTGTTGTTGTTTCCTTGAATCAGCCGTGTCCAGACAATGCATGCAGTAGTGATACAGGCAATTAGGCGCCTTTTCGCTGGACATGACAGCAAAAGAAATGGATGGAGAGAGCCAGCAGCAACAGCAGCAGTGGACAGTCGTAAATCAAAGCAATAAACATGCTTGTAA